TAATTATATTTGTAATTATTTCATTGCTTACCGAGTTTTCTTCTTCTTGATGCCATTGGTGTCGCCCTTCTTCTTGTCATTCTTACTTTTTGCTGCCGGCGTCGATGATTGGGGACCGCTCGCGCTGCTATTGCCGCCATTGCCATTGTTGGTTCCATTGCCGCCGCTAACATTCGAATTTATATCGCCACCGCTGCCATTTATGGACGCCATTTGACACATCTCATCCGCCTTTTTATGCTTGTGGTTGTTGCTGCCCGAGGGTGTATTGCTTACTGTGCCACCAGCTTGTGTCACCGTTACGCCCGTCATTGTAACGCCCACCACACTTGTTGCACCATTGTTGCTATGGATCAGAATGCCTTCCCCAGCGCCGCTATGCGTCATATTGCTAGTGATGAGGCCATTTGCCTGCTGCGCAGACTCATTCCCATTTAACACTATTGTGCTGCCACCGCCACCACCGTCATGTCCGTGTTGTGTGTGATGGGGACTGGATCCGTAGAGCTGTTGCATGTGCTGTTCATACTCCAATTTAGCAGCTGCGGCGGCAGAGTTTGGCGAATAGTCGAGCTTTCCGTTGCTCCCCGACATGTGCGAGTGGTAATCAGCTAGCATGGGGGCTTGATGTTGGCTGTGCATTTGCTTGTGGTGCAGCATGCCATTTGGACTGGCGACACCTGCGCTGGCCGGCGGTGGTGGAGGTGGTGTGGCTGAGTACTGGTGCGGATGTGCGGCGTGGTGATCGATTTTGTGCTGATTGTTGGCATTGGGCACAACGGTAGTGGTGTACTCGTACTTCTGAGTAGGTGAGTAGCAACCCATTTTATTCACAGAATTGTATTCTAATTTCTGACCATAGTCAGATGTTTTGTAGGGATCTAGTTTTGGCGAGCCACCTGGTAGAAGTGTATTACAGTCGGGCAATCGTTGGCTGCACATCTCGCCACTGCCGTTGTGTTGCAGTACAGAGTTTGGCGGCAGGCCCAACATGACTGGATGTAGACCGTGATGGCCAGCGCTGGAAACTCCGGTGGCGGAAGGTGCTAGAGGCTTGGCTCCTAGAGGACTAAGTGGACCTGAGAAATCGTTGAAGATCTGGTCATCGAAGGTGGCGTGCTCCATGTTTACTTGAAAATCGTTCAGTGCTTCACTGCTGGCGCAAAAGTTTGTGTCTAACATCAGTGAGGAGGGTGAAGCAAGCGGTTATGCCAAATCTAGCGAAGTTTCCTTCGAAAAATGCCTCTTATCGATGAGCTATGAA